GGCGCGCGGCGGCCAGCCCTCTGCAGCCCCCTCGGGGTGCCGGGGTGGACCCAGACCGCGTCCTTCTCGTGGGTCGCCGTGGTGACTCCTAGGAGGCAGCAGTTCCATTTCCGCCTGATTCTTACGGGGAAACTGAGGCTCAGAGGGGGGCATCTCCCTACCCAAGGTCACACGGCCAAGAAGTGGCCCAGGTGGGATTCCTCTTGCTCTGCCTTCTCATTCTCGGTCCTAGGAGGCTCCCCAGGGGCTGGTCCCCTTCAGTCTGGGGCTGGGGCAGGCCTCTCCCCACTAGGGCAGCTTCCTCCCCTTGCCCCGGGCTCTCCCTCCTGGCCTTCCTGTTTAACCCGCAGAGAAATTGCTGAATCCCCAGAAGGGAGGAGGGCTGGGAGGGCGGAGTCCGGCTCTCCCAAGGGCTTCAGCCTCCTTTTGCCGAGGAGGGAATTGAGGCTCAGAGAGGCTCTGGGACCTGTCGAAGGTCACAGCCCTGGGATCTCCTGCTGGCACTGCGCTGGGTGCTCCGTCCTGGGCCACTTCCCCCCCTCTCCGTTCACTCTCCTCTGTCTGGGAGGGGTCTGTGTGTGCACCCATCCAGGGAACAGTGGCTGATCTTACCAGGAGAGATGAGAAAGCTAGAGGCCCAGGTGGCTGCCTGCCTGCCCATCTCGGAGACTGTCCCCGGAAAGCTCTCCCTCCAGCCTGTGCCAGGCCTCGGAGGGCTGTGGACAGGGACGCATGGTGGCATTCAGGGGCCCGGACTTTGTGTCTGGAGGTCTGGGGGGGACCCGTGGAATGTCCACAGCACAGGGCCAGGGCAGCCTGGGAGCTGGTGCTGATGGCCCTTCTAAACGGAGGAGTACCATGACAGCAAAGGTCCCGGATGACATTGGGGGGTGTAAGGGGGGGAATGCTCTTTGTGCAGACGCTGTGGCCTCAGCGAGGGCCTCCGAGAATGTGAACAGGATCTTCCTGCCAGGCTACCTGGCTGGCTCTGGAGACCCGGGGACAGTGGGGACAGAGAACAGCTCATTGAGTCTCTGCCCAGCCTCTGCCTGGGGCCTTGTGCTCGGTCGGGGGTGCATGTTCCCAAGTCGGATTCTCCTACCAGCAGGGGTGGGGCCCTTGGCTGTTGGGTGTCCCACTGACCCCAGTGAAATCCCGCAGTCAGTCCTTCTGACTGAGCCCCACCTAATGGGCCAGGGCCACAGAGTGAGGCTAGTGGCTTTCTCTTCTCCTTGCTCTTTCTGGGCATGAAGAAGCCGGGGGACAAGGACTTGTTATGCTATAAAAGGGGCTTTTTAATAATTAGACTGGCAGCTGGTATGATGTTATCGTGCACAGCACTTGAACTATGTACGGCAACCTGTTCAGTCTGCACGTCAGTCTGGCACAGGGTCTTCGAGGAACTGAGGCACAGAGGGGTTAAGGGGCTTGCCCAGGGTCACACAGGGAGCTGGTCAGGCTGTGCAGCGTGGAGCCTGAAGTGAGAGGGGCAGGGGGGCTTCTGGCAGGGAGGTTTCTGGCAGGCAGGATGGCCCAAATCTGAGGGTGGATGCAGTTTGGGCTCCTGTTGTGTCCTCTGTGCTCTATTCCACCCTGACATTCCCACCTGCTGTGGCCAGCAGGGTGCTGGGGTGCCGGGTGCTGCCAGGTGATTGCCACCCAGGGTGATGAGTCCCTGGACCACCAAGATGGAAGACTGTGCTCCCGGGGGGGCTCACAGCCTGTTCGAGGGCTTGGGGGGCTTGGAGGGCTTGGCCTTGGTGGAGCCAAGTTCAGGGTGAATGTCATGGAGGGCACAGGGTGGAGGAAGCAACAGGAGAGGAGGCCGAAGCACCAGGCTGGGGCGGAGCCTTTCTCCTGTAGCAGTGGGGACCCACGGGAAGCTGTGGTGTGCTCATGAGGGTTTGTGACAAGATCCCTCTGGCTGCTGCAGGATGGGGAAGGGAGGCCGGTTTGGGGCCGCAAAGCGGGGTGGGATGGGCCTTCCTGAGGTTTGGTTCCTGGAGGGAGGGCGGAAGGCCAGGTGAGCTAAGGTGGCCACACCCAGAATTTTACACAGCAACAACCGAAGCCAGGCGATCGTGTTGGACGAGTGCTGGACGGTTCCGGGGTGCCCCGTACTCTTGGCCTGTAGTGGCCTGCCCGGGCCCGAGCTCCTTCAGCTGTACCCTGGGCCTGGGCCTGGAGGGAGCCTGGGCGCCGGCTGCTTGTCTCTTATCTCAGAAGCTGTATCCTTCGGTCTCTCCAGGCCCAGATTCCATTTCTTCCCCAGGGATTCGGTCACGGGGCAGGAACCGGAGTACTGGGCACACAGCGAAAAGCCATTGTCCCTGTTCAGGCCCCGCCACACACCGGGCAGGGCGCCGAATGAGGTCCTCTTGTGGGCGGGCGTGGACACGCAGCAGGTGAAAGGCATCTTGATCCGGAGGCTGGGCAGAGAACGGAGCCAGGTTCCTCGCTTGACGTCCGTCACGCTGCCACGGTGGGCGTCGTGTGATCCCTCTTCACACAGGTGCTCCTTCTCTGCCCCCAGGTGCCGAGGCCAGGCGGGATCTGTGCTTTGAACAGGCTGTGATCTTTATCGAAGACGCGATCCAGGTGGGCAGCGCCCACTCCCGGTGGCGGGGCCTGGGCTTCTCTGGGGCTTTGGGGCTGTGGGCATTGGGTGATGGATGCCCTGATGGCCCTTTACTCCTCGCTGTCCTGGGGTCAAGGCTGAGGTTGGTAGACTGTGTGGTCCACGTAACCCTAAAAGTGGGCGCTGGGAATTCTTACTCAGAGTCCCCAATCATTCGCTGTATTGATTTGCCGCCTACTGCAGACCTGTTGTCTGCCGCCTCCTCCAGTTCCTGTGAAAGATGCCCAAAGATGGCAAGACCATCCCCTGCTTGCAAACGACACTCGGGAACAGGGGAGTAGAATATGGAAGCGAGCCGTGCCCAATTGTGGATTAGGCTGTAGGCTTCCTGGGGGTGACAGCTGAAGGGGGGCAGGGTGTGGGCCTCGCACGGGGGTGGGGTGGGGTGGGGGAGCTCCCAGGCACATGGGCCCAGCTGTGCATTCAGAAAACGAGTGTCCCTTTGGTGGACCTGCCTGGCCAGGTGTCTGCCCCTTGGGATGTGCTCTGCCTGCTTGGCACAGTGTGGCTTTGCTGGGTCACGGTGGGGCATCTTGCCCGCCTGCTGAGTTGAAGCTCACCTGTAATTCACAACTTGTCCCCCCACCCTGGGCCCGCGTGCGGCTGGCTGTGTTGTGTGGCACTGAGACCGAGGGGACCCTCACTGACGCTCCCCTCTGTGACCGTTCACTTCCAGTATCGCTCCATTAACCACCGCATGGACACCAGGTCGATGTGGCTCTACCGATGGTATTACTCGGACGCCTGCCAGTGGTGAGAATGCACACGTGTGGGTTCGGGGTTCTTGAAGCCTGGCTGGGCGGCTGTCTCAGGTCCAGGCGGGCGGGCCCCTGTCCCCAGGTGGAGAAGATGCTCTCTGTCTGCCCTCCTTACTGGAAAGGAGTGGACGGTAGACAGGAAGGCGAACTTTCCGGGCAGCCTTGCTAATTGTTTGAACTCCCTTTGAGTTCCCTGAGCACACGGGTAGCTGCAGGGCAGGAGCTGTGGTTCTGCCTGGGGACCGCGGTGTCCGCCCTGCTGCGCTCTGGGTGTTCTGCCTACCCATCTGGTTTTACGCCCAGAGTGTGGCTGGTTCTCACGTTGTAATCTTTTTTTTGTTCCCTTTCCAGGATTTTGGGCTTCATCATTTTCTTGATCCTGTTTCTGGCTTTTATTGAGACCCCGTCCTCGTTCACCAGCACCTCGGACGTCCGCTACCGCTCGCAGCCCTGGAACCCGCCCTGCGGCCTGACGGAGAGCGTGGAGGTCGTCTGCCTGCTGGGCTTCGCCACCGACCTCTCGGTAAAGGTGAGCCGGCGGCGGGTGCGGAGCCCGGGACCCTGCACCCTTCCCACCCCCACCTGCCTGCTGCTTTTCTGGTTTATTTATTATTATTAGTTCTCACACAGTGATGTTTTTGTTTTTTTAAAGTTGATTTGAGAGAGAGAGAGAGAAAGAGAGAGAGACAGAGAGACACTGATGTGTCCATCCATCGGTTGCCTCCTGTGCCCACCCCCAACCAGGGATCGAACTCGCAGCCATTGGGTGTACAGGACCCCTCAGCCCCCGGGCCAGGGCTCTCATTGGTTTTAACGCCCCCAGAGCTGTCCGCCAGATCTGCAGC